AAATAAAACAGTTAGCTTACTTTCCGCACTTCTTAGAAGCTTCGTCGTAGGAAAAAATAAGCTATCGTTTTGTTCTCTGGAAGACGTTTGCAGTTGATGTGGTGGACTCAATGTTGAAAAAGTACAACACGTAATGCCCATATCGGTCTTCGCAAACATACTTGATGTTCAACTCTGAAAGAATGATTATCTTCCAGTTTTGGTCCAGTATTGGTATAATTGTTTTACAGTCGAATGCTTATAAGAGGCAAAGTATGAGTTGTATTACCCGGAGCTGTGGTAACGAGGTAGGCTTGAAATTTTTACTCTGTAGTATATGTTGCTCTCAGCAAAAATACGTGTTTCTCAGTAGGAGCCCTGTAGAACATAGTGATCCGTGGTATATTCTCGAAGATACCACGAAACGCTATTAACGCCAATTTACCTCAATTTTTCGGTAATTAAACCACACACATTCAAGTTTGGCATGATGATACAACTCTTTACCGTTTACTAAAACCAAAAGGGATTTTAACTATAACTTTTCTAATATAATGTATCCTAATAAAGGTACCAATCGGGACTGGGGGTGGGAAATTTCAATAAACCTGCTCTAAAGTGCTTACAGAACGGATCGTGTTTAACTAATGGTTGCGTCAGCATGAGATAAATTAGTATTACGGGATGTGAATAATTCCGGCTTTTCTAGTATTCAGGATTCAATNAGATATATATATATATATATATATATATATATATATATATATATATATATAGGTTTGAACCAAACTCGTGCAACATCATGACTTTTCCCGAACCTATTTATCTCATTGCCAAACTTTTTGATCCTCATGCACGGGAATGTGCATGGTATCACCCCAGGTCACCCGCAAAATTTTTATGATAGTATTAACTTATATGGTTGCTTCTTTAGGCCGAGCGCGTTAGAAAAATACAATTTCTCTATTTCGACCATGGTTGATGGCGCATCGACTGTAAGATAACCGAACATCTGTAGAGGGAAATAGTAAAAATTATTCGTGAAAAGAACTTATATCAATTAGATAAATTGAGGAGTTTCATATTTTTAATAATCTGTGTCCTGTTTTATTTTGGAGCACTTTAGTCAGTCGTTTTGGCATGGAGTCCACCAACTTGGAAATTAGATCACCTTTGTCAGTTTCCTCCAGTATATGCCGTACCCTGGCCTCCAACGACCACCCTCGAGGAAGGTGACTCAGCTCTGTTTTCAACACAGAGAAAAAGTTTTCGATTACATTCAAATCCGGATTGTTAGGTGAAAACTGAATGAATTCGATTTTTGAAGTAGACATTTCCGATCGTGTCTAAATATGAAAAAAGCATATGCTTGAGTTTAAATGATTTTGTGACAAACCTCACTTGAAACATGACATGGAGCATTGTCCTGTAAAAGTATGGCTTCACCGAAGACATTCCGCAAGTGGTGGTCACTAAAAACTTCCTTGATCAGTGAGACAAATTTTGCACTGTCCAATATACCATGTACAGGAACCCAACGACAAGATACTCCGTATTTAATCCCCACCCAGATCATCAGGCGAGAAGGATATTTGCTTTTAGTAAGCGGAGGAATGGATTTCCTTGGAAAACTGGGTCCACAGATTACCTTTTTCTACCTGGTGTCTTGCTCGTCAACCATCAGACATTCATCAGTGAAATAAACTGAACGCCAAAAAGACAGGTGATACGATTTGAATTCGTTGGCAAAATTAATACTAGCCTTACTTTGTTTGGCGTTATACTAGTAGCTATCGACGTATGGGTATAATATTTCAAGCCAAAAAATTATTTCTGTTTTCAGAGTCATGTTGCACGAGTTCGATCAGTACTTTATGTATATATATATATATATATATATATATATATATATATATATATATATATATATATATAAGATTGGTGGTAATAGGAGTTATTGTTTGTGAAGTGCATTTGCATACAGTTTTATCTCTGCACACATGGTCATTCTGCGTTTTCTTTGTTGCTTTCGGGAATGTACTTCCTGTCAGTGATCGCCTAAAGAACCTACGCTTGCGCAAAACAACGTACTTACGAGTAACTATCTTCGTTTCCTATCTCTGTAGTGGTAAAGGATGATATGCCTCAATCCAACGGAGCGGATAATGAGTCCACCAAAAATGAACA